GCTGCTACAACTAAGATCTTTAGGTGTGAAATTCAGCTCCACGAGTGGAATCATTCTGCCAGTGACCGTTCTGATACTCAAAGGAAAAGTACAGATTTTGGCTGAAAAACTACAGGCTTATCTTACGAAAGCGTCTGTGTGCGCATGCCCAAGATCCTGAGAGGAGAATGGAGACGGGATTGCAGCGTGGCCATCCCCGCTGGGGGGTGATTTCTCACTTTCTGTCTCTCTGTCTCTGTCTGGTGAGCGCATGTGCCCTGTAGCAAAAACCTCTTAAAAAACAAACAAAACAAACAAACAAAAAACAACCTATCTCTTTTTAAATTATTTAATTGGGACCAGCAGTTGGCCTAATGGCTATGTCCCCGGACTTCCATGTAGTTGACCGCGGTTCAAATCCTAGAACCGGTGGCTTAAACTCACTGTGTGCGTGCATGCCAAAGATCCCGAGAGGAGCATGGAGAAGAGCCATCCCTTCTGGGGGGTGATTTCTCACTTTCTCTCTGTCTCTGTCTTTCTGGCGAGCGCACACGCCCTATAGCAAAAACCTGCCGCCCCCCCAAATTATTTTATTATTATTTTTTTAATTTAAGAGAGAGAAAGAGAGAGAGAGAGAGAAGGAAAGTGAGAAAGTAAGCCTCCAGGTCTGGGACTTGAACTGTGGTCAGCCACGTGGGAATCCAATGCCTTAACCACTATATCACCTGTTGGCCCCAGTAACTACCTTATGGTTATATTTAAATGTCTTTGTTCTTGTAAAATGTGTTGAAATATTTGGGAGTAAAGGAGAATGCTGAGTCCAACTAATGTTCAAATGGTTCAGGAAAACAAAGTAGTTTAGATACATATACAAATAAAGAGTAATTAGGCAGATGTGGCGAAATGTTAACGACTGGTAGACTAGGTGAAGAATATTGGAAATTTCTTCTACAATTTTTGTAACATTTTGTATAATTTTGAAATTACTTCAAGATAAAAAAGCTTGGGGCCATCAGATGATGTGGCAGGTAGGGCACTGACGGCAACTTACCTTCTCCCTTTCCCTCTCTCTGCTGAATTAAATAATAATAATAAAGTTGAATAAATAACTCTTTGGGGGGAGGGAAACAAAGTTAAAAAAAAAAAAGATGGGATCGGCAGATGGCATAATGGCTATGTCACTGGACTCCCATGTGGTTGACCGTGGTTCGAGTCCTGGACCCGGTGGCTTAAACTCATGCTGGGTGCATGTGCGTGCGTGCCCAAGATCCCAAGAGGAGAATGGAGAAGGGATTGCAGTGTGGCCATCCCCCCGGGGGTGATTTCTTGCCTTCTGTCTCTCTCTTTTTAGCGAGCGTGCACACTCTATAGCAAAAGTCCCTACAAAACAAAACAAAAGAATACTGTAATGAGGGACCAGCAGGTGGCATGGTGGTTAAGGTGCTGGACACTCCCACATGGCTGACCATGGTTCAAGTCCTAGACCTGGGGGCTTGCTTTCTCACTTTCCCTCTGTGTGTGTGTGTGTGTGTCTCCCTGCTCAAATAAAAAGACATGAATGAATAAATGAAATGATTATTTAAAAAAAAGAATACTGTAATGACATTGGTATCTTTTAAGGTGAACAGTAGGCAATTACTTAGCTATCAAGACATCGGTTCTAGCCCCAGGCCAGTCAATAGACACAGCATTTCTATCACACATTTTTACTTACAGCCATAAATTCTTGCTAACTATTAAAAACCATCCCTTTGTGGCTCAGAAAGCGAGGAGATCCACCTATGTGAGTAATACATATGCACGTCCTTTTACCTGAGACATCCATCTGTCATCTCCTTGAATATCTTCTGCCGCATGTGGAATAGCTGCTGGGTTTGAGTCTCCTTGGCTCATTCTACACCTGAGGGAAAAATGGCTGTGTCATGTTTCATTTATTAATAGGAACCTTTACCACTTATTTAAAGACTATATGTCACGCTTTCAATAATTTTTAAACAGTTATTTAATTTTATTTAGTATTATTTATTTGACCAGAGAAAGACAGGGTGTAGGGGAGGGGTTGTGAGAAAGCAAGCCGCTAGGTCCAGGACTTGAACCATGGTTGCCCATGTGGGAGTCCAGCACTTTAACCACCATGCCACCTGCTGGCCCACTTTCAAAACTAATTTAACTTTCATGTAGTTTCACCTAAAAAGTGAACTGGGCTTTATTTTCAACAAGATGAATCCAGGACATGACTGCTTAAGTTCCATAAATATAGTATCACTAAGTTTACAGACAGGTTTGATATCGCTTAGGAACAGTGCATTACATAAAATAAATAAATAAAATCTCCTCCAAGTATGTACTTCACAGTGGTATTAATTTTTCATAATTAGGTTACCATAAGTACCAAGTGACACAAAGAATTAAAATACAGTACAATGAAATCTACATGAGAGCCTTTTAGGCTGCTAGAATCATACATTTAAAAATCAGTACAGCAGTGGGAACCAGCAGTTAGTGTAATGGCTATGTCGCTGGACTCCCACGTAGTCGACCGCGGTTCACGTCCCGGACCCGGTGGCTTAAAACTCACGCCGGGCGCGTGTGCGTGCGTGCCCAAGATCCCGAGAGGAGAATGGAGGAGAAGGGATTGCGGCGTGACCATCCCCCCTGGGGGGTGATTTCTCGCTTTCTGTCTCTATGTTTCTCTCTGTCTCTCTCTGTCTGGCGAGCGCACGCGCCCTATAGCGAAAACCTCTCCAAAAAAAAAAAAAATCAGTACAGCAGTGACTGGAATGCACCTGCTAGTAAAGAGTAAACATCACACATATAACTGTACTAAAGATTATGATAAAACTAGACAACGGGGCCAGAAGGTGGTACAGTAGTAGGATGTGATGCTCTGCACGGCCAACCCAAGTGGGATGGTTCCAGGTTCTCCCTGAGCATGCAAACACATGCATGCCCATGATCCAGGCTAGCTGGGGTAGATCATGGCACTGGGGCCCTATTAGGGTGCTATCTGTGTCTCTCACTCATGGAAAGAATAAACTTACAAAGAAAAACAAAACCAGTCATAGGCTTTTGCAATAAATTTTTTAAAAATAATTATTTGTTTTGAGGGACCAGTGTAATGGTTACGTAGCTGGACTCCCTTGTAGTCAAATGCAGTTCAAGTCCCTGACAAGGCAGCTTAAATTCACACCGGGCACATGTGCGTCCGTGCCTAAAATCCCAGGAAGAGAATGAAGAAGGGATTATGGGGTGGCCATCCTCCTGGAGGGTGATTTCTCACTTTCTGTCTCTCTGTCTCTCCAGTGAGCACAAGTGCTCTATAGTAAAAATCTCTCTTACAGTATAAAAAAGAAAAATATTTTATTTATCATCGTCTTTTTTTTTTTTGGGAGGTTTTTGCTACGGGGTGCGTGCGCTCACCAGACAGACAGACAGAGAGACAGAAAGCGAGAAATCACCCCCCCGGGGGGATGGCCACGCCATAATCCCTTCTCCTCCATTCTCCTCTCGGGATCTTAGGCACACATGCACACGGGCCTGGTGTGAGTTTAAGCCACTGGGTCCGGGACTTGAACCGTGGTCGACTACATGGGAGTTCAGCGACATAGCCATTACGCTAACTGCTGGTCCCGATCATCATCATTTTTTTTAAAAGATATTTTTGCTATAAGACATATGCAGTTACCAGAGACATGCCCAGCATGAGTTTAGTCACTGGGTCCAGGAATCGAACAGCAGTCATGGGAGTCCAGCACCTTAACCATTACGCCACCTGCTGGCCCCTATTATTTTTAATCTGCTACAGGACATACGCACTCACAGAAAGAGTGAGAAAGCAAGTCACCAAGTCCAGGACTTGAACCTCCGTGGAAGTATGTGGAAGTCCAGCGCTTCAACCACCATGCCATTTGCTGGCCCTCACAATAGTGGTTTTTTTTTTTTTTTTAAGAATTATTTTTTTTAACTTTTTTTATTATTTTTATCATTATTATTTCCCAGTTTGATCAGAGAGTGACAGAGAGAGAAAGAGAGGATATAAGAAAGCAAGTCACCAGGTCCGAGACTTCGAGACTTGAACCATGGTCGGTCATGTGGGAGTCCACCGCCTTTAACCACCATGCCACTTGCCAGCCTCAATAGTGTTTTTTTTTTTTTTTTTTTTTTTTAGTTTGTTTTTTTTTTTTTTTTGAGAGTTTTTTGCTACAGAGCATGTGTGTGTGCTTGCCAGAGAGACAGAAAGCAAGAAATCATCTCCCAGAGGGGATGGCTATAATTCCCTCTCCTCCATTCTCCTTTCAGAACTTTGGGAATGCAAGCACATGCACCCAGTGTGAGTTTTAAGCTGCCAGGTCTGGGACTCCAACCGCTTGACTATGTGGGAGTCCAATGATATAACCATTATACCATCTGCTGGTCCCCCACAATAGCTTTTGCCAAATTTATTTACTAGGTATTATCTTTGATAGGTCTTCACTAAAAAAAATTTGGTAATAATTTGGAAGAGAAAGGACTGTTGTTAGCCTAAATACAGCATTTGACAGCAGAGAAAGAGTAAGTGAAATTCAGAAAAATTATAAACGCTAATCTTCTGAAAAGACAAATATGATTATTTGTCAGATTATTATCAGCCACTACTGGAGAATACGCACTAGAAACATTAGGCTCCAAATGCAACACTGGAAAAGGGAAAAAAAACCCTGTGGTTTTGTGACTTACAGAAAAGAAGGCTATCTTCTATGTGAGCACTCTTGTCTGTCTCTCGCCGTTCTTAAACACAGCTAAGCTTTCTTAGAAAGCACACACAAACGCACACAGAGTACACAAATACCCTGCACTGCCAAGGTAGTATTTTAGAATCACAAAGAACCAAGCCCTAAACACTACAGCCTACCCTCACTCACGAAAAACAAGATTATAGAAGCAAGGGGGCTGGGGGGACCAGCAGTTAGCGTAATGGCTATGTCGCTGGACTGCCATGCATTCAACGACCACGGTTCGCGTCCGGGACCCGGTGGCTTAAAACTCACGCCAGGCGCGTGTGCGTGTGTGCCCACGATCCTGAGGAGAATGGAGGAGAAGGGATTGTGGCATGGCCATCCCCCCTGGGGGGTGATTTCTCGCTTTCTGTCTCTCTCTGTCTGTCTGGCGAGCACATGCGCCCTATGGCAAAAACCTCTCAAAAAAAAAACAAAGAAGGAGGCCGGCAGGTGGCATGGTGGTAAGGGCGCTGGACTCACAGATGGCCAACTGCAGTTTGAGTCCCAAACCTGGTGGCTTGCTTTCTCACTTTCCCTCTCTCTATCTTTCTTGTTCTCACTCTCATTCTGTCCCTCTCTGGTCAAATTTAAATTAATTAATTAAAAAGTTAAATAATTCTTTTAAACAAATTACAGCGGCAAACAATATTAATGCTAACTATGTAAACAAATTAGCTCAGTTCTATTAGGTCCTCGGGAAAGTCATGAGTATTTTTCTATGCAAAAATGGGCGGGACTTTCCACCGACCCAATAAATGACACTAGGTCTAAAACAATACAATCAGGGCCAGCTGGTGGTGGGGCGGTTAAGGTACTGGATTCCCACATGGCCGACCACAGCTCGAGTCCCAGACCCTACAGCCTGAAAATTACCATGGGGGTCTGTGCCCTCAAATCTCCAGAGCAAATCTCCAGAGAACTGAAGAGAAGGGATTGCAAACTGGCTCTCCCCCCTGGTGGGGCGATTTCTCTCTCTTTTTCTGTCTCTCTCGGTGCGTGCACTAAGCCCTATGGCAAAAATCTTAATATAAATAAATAAAAATAAAAACCCAACCACCATTTAAATAATCTGTCCTCTCTTATTTTCCTACCTAACGTGTTAAGAAACACTTCACACTAAACACTTAAATTTTTCTTCCATTAGGTATTGTTTAGGCAAAATTAAATGACGGAGTTAATTGAGAATATTATTCTACTAAAAAGGAGAAAAACAATTTGATGGCTCCCTCTACATAATTGTGTAACTGAAATTATTTTCCCTGGGGATTTTTTTAAAAGAGATTTTTGCTATAGGGTGCGTGCACTTGCCAGAGATCCCTGGGTTTTTTTTTTTTAAAAGAATACCAAGGATAGCAAACTGTGAATTTAAGGTCCTTCATAACAGTAAGTATTCAAATACATATTTTACCATTTAAAGACAAAATGTAGACACTTTAGCTTCGTTGATGAAATACTTAAAAAAAAAATCATTTTGATAAACAAGAGTGTATTGGGCCAGCAAGTGGCACAGAGGTTAAGTCACTGGATCCCACATGTCCAGTTTCATGGTTTGAGTCCTGAACCTGGCAGCATTAGAATCATGCCAGGCGTGTGTGTGTGCACCCAAAATCTTAAGAGGAGAGTGGAAGAGAAAGGACTGTGGTGTGGCCATCTCCCCAGGGGGTGATTTCTCTTTTTCTCTCTCCCTCTCCTGTGCATATGTGCCCTAAAGCAAACAAACAAACACTACAGGGCACCTAGAAGAAATGAATCAAGATGGTAAGGAATTTGAACACCTGCCATGTTACAAATATCAATAGTTGAAAGGAGTATGCTTATAACCTATAGAAAAACTGATTGAGGGACCAGCAGTTGGTGTAATGGCTATGTCGCTGGACTGCCATGTATTCAACAACCGTGGTTTGAGTCCCAGACCCAGTGGCTTAAACTCACACCGGGCGCATATGTGTGTATGCCCAATAGAAGGCAATGTGGAGTAACCATCCTCCTGGGGGGGTGATTTCTCACCTTCTGTCTCTCTTTCTCTGTCTCTGGCAAGCGCATGTGCCCTACAGCAAAAACCTCTCAAAAAAAGAAAGAAAGAAAGAAAGAAAAACAGAAAAAGGAACACACAGAGCATAGACAGTATTCGAAGATTAACAGA